GGTAATATGATTTTTAAGTTTGGATTAGTCCTTTTAGATTTTTATTTTGATTTTTTTGTTCATATATATATATATATATATATATATATATATATATATATATATATATATATATATATTGGTGCATTGGATGTTATTATATTAGGATCAATTGCCTTGATTTTTTGTTTTTGTATTTTTAAAACCTTTATTTGCATTATAGGGTCATACATAACCAATCATCAATATTAGTAATCAATCCAATTCCACCCTACTATCAAACATACAAAATACTTTCACTAAAACCCATACGATTATCAAGTATTTGATTTCCATTCCGATTCTGATTCCCATATGCGAACCAAACACACTCTTATTTTGAAGATTGATTCCATTATTTTGTTGGTGGAAAAGAAATTTACTCGAATATTAATTCCATTATTTGGTTAGGTTTGGAATTATAAGGAATAATGAGTATCTATAAAGATCATCATGCCCCTACATAATAAAATGATACTAAAAGTAATAGTAATTTATAAATTAAAAAAATTATAATTTTAAAGTTACAATATTATAATTATATATTTTATATTATTTTATAGTATTTGATGTCTCGGCAGGGGTAACATGGTTAGTTGATTTAATTAAAGAACTTGGTCTTACTATGAAAAAACCACCAAAATTTTGGTGTGACAATCTTGGTGCCACCTATTTGTGTGCAAGTATTGTGTTTCATGCTCGAACCAAACATGTTGAAATAAATTACCATTTTGTTCGTGACAAAGTAATTACATCATATCAAAGGAACTACAAGTAATTAAACCAAATCTCTACAAGCTACTAACCACGGCAAGGTTCAATTATGATCTAAGGGAAAACTCAATATTCTCTCTAGATCAAAGAACCTTAAACTTGAAGGTACGTATTAGGACTCTATGCTCTAGTTACACTAGAATTCTTTCTCCCTCTCTCTCTCTCTCTCTGTATTATTGTAAATCTACCTTAGCTTTTATAATTTATTAATTCATAATGACATGACTAAGACTCTTTGTATTCTTATAATTAAATACATCTCTTTCTATACTTGTAAATTGAATTGATCAATTACATAATAAACTTCTCTCTAGAAATTCTTGTCCACATCCTCTCAAATATTCTTTTCTTGTTTTTTTTTTTTTTTTTTGTACTGATCGAATTTTCTGATCACCTGTGATACCTCATATTTTGTGGGCGCTATACAAGGACTGTATGTGCGTATGGAGTTAATTTAATTAAATTCTTTTATCCTTGGTACCTAATTTTATTTTATTCCGTAGCTTGGACTCCAAATTTGACCAAATACTGTCATAAATCCATTATTATCTCGAACCTACTATGATATACTCTTCTTCTTCTTACATTCTATATATATATATATATATATATATATATATATATATATTACTCATTGTACTGTATTATATCCAGTGATCTTCACACCTCTCATTTCTTTTTATCGACCATCTCTCCCTGCATCTATATAGATACATGTATACAATATATATCCATACACAGAAGTACTTCATGATTTCTTCCAGTGGCGGAGCCAGAATTATTTTTCAGTGGGGGTGAAAAAGTAAAGGAAAAATAAATTAAAAAATGTTCAAATACAAAATTCAAATAAATATAAGATTATTAAAATACAAAATACATTATAAATTACAATACAAGGTTTATGATAAACTACGAGATAATACTCCTCTATGCTCTCTCATATTTTGAAATTGTTGTAGAATTGCTTCATTTGAAACTTGATCAAAAATATATTTTTCATCATACAGTACTAAGCAATCATTTCAACATATGACAAATTAGTAATTAACTAGGGATAATCCACCGTTAGTAATTACTAATTAACATATTAGTAATTCACATAACTCAGCAATTAGCAATAGCAATTAGGGCAATTGTTAACAGTAATTAATTTGATAAAATAATTCAAATAGAAAATACATTATAAATTATACATCTCATTATTAATATAAAAAAGTTATATATATATATATATATATATATATATATATATATATATATATATTAAAAAATCATAAAGAAGCAGTTGAAAGTGTCGAAAACAGCAATAAGGATTATAAAACCATAAAGAAGTAGTTAAAAGTTGAAATTAACAACATGAGATTCAAACCCCCACTATTTGGTAAGGTCAAACCTTGCATATCCACCAACTCATCTAACATCTCTATTGTTTACTTTTAACTGTTTTCATATATTTATATCTACTACAGGTACTATATATACATATACATATATATAGAAGGGCTAGGGGTGGAGGTGGGGTGAGTGGGGGCAGCTGCCCCACTGTACCTCCGCCCCTGATTTCTTCCCTTCTCTTAAACACATTTAGCCGAGCCATTCTTCTTTTTTTCTCTTTCAGACCGACCCTTGGTGTGGACGTACGGCGGAGATTGATGAAGACAGTGGCGGACCCAGAAAATTATGTGAGTGGGGGGCGTAGTTCAAATTACTTTAGAAATGTCAATGAAAAAATATCAAAAACACCCATAATACGGTTCAAATACAAAATATATTATAAATTATAATACAATGTTTATGAGTTATGACAGACTACAAGATAGTTAGGGGCGGAGCCAAAACTATACTTGGGTAGGGTTAAATTTTAAAACACTTTAAAATGTTATAAAAATATATGAAACATAATCGATTAGATAAAATAGTTTAAATAGAAAAGACAATATATTCATAAATACTTTAATTTTAATTTTAATTTAGTTAGATCAACTCTAAATTTTTCTAAATTTGTTCGAATACAAGTATAATATAAACTTGTGGACTACATTAACTATATAATTTACAAAGAAAGTAGATTAAAAAATATTTAATTCATTGAATGATTGAAAGGATTAAAATAAAGAAAAGAAACTAAAAATACTATAAGATTAGAATGGCTAAAATAAAAAAAGAAACTAAAAATACAAAAAAGAAATACCAAAAATCACTATTAGTGAAAACTATACTTGGGTAGGGTTAAATTTTAAAACACTTTAAAATGTTATAAAAATATATGAAACATAATCGATTAGATAAAATAGTTTAAATAGAAAAGACAATATATTCATAAATACTTTAATTTTAATTTTAATTTAGTTAGATCAACTCTAAATTTTTCTAAATTTGTTCGAATACAAGTATAATATAAACTTGTGGACTACATTAACTATATAATTTACAAAGAAAGTAGATTAAAAAATATTTAATTCATTGAATGATTGAAAGGATTAAAATAAAGAAAAGAAACTAAAAATACTATAAGATTAGAATGGCTAAAATAAAAAAAGAAACTAAAAATACAAAAAAGAAATACCAAAAATCACTATTAGTGGGAATTGATTCCATGATCTACCCACAACAAACCTAAGGTTTCAACCAACTAAGCTACTAAAGCCTTTAGTAATTTGTATATCTATATTATATAAAATGGTTTAATTAGGGAGGGGTCAGTGGGGGCAACTGCTTTGCCCCCACTGCCCCCATTGTCGATCCGCCATTGGATGAAGAAGTTGTCGATGATGATTAGCATACGAGGATGAGCGGTGTGGATGGATATGATGTGTAATGACTGTGAGCTGATGGTGGTATGATCAGGTGATGTTTTTATTTAATTTTGAGTTATTGAGAATGATGATGATAAGGGTATGATTGTTAATAATATTATAATGATTGTGTGTGGAATGATGATATTGATGATGAGAATTGAGAAGGTTCTGGACGATGATGAACTAGTTGTCTGGTTCAATTTTATAAAAAAAATGAAGAATAATGATATTCTGATGATGATGTGAGTAATGATTTAATGATGTTGGCATACGAATGATAATGAAGAAATGATGAAATGGTCTGCTAATTAGAGTTTATATTGATGCTTGCGGCAAATAAGCTTAATCTTATAACTATAATAAAGCTATATGGTTTGTGAAGTAATTAATGTGATAATTAATGCCACAACATCCTTTATTATAAAAAAAAAAAAAGTACAACATTTGAAAAATAAAATAGCTATAAATTATATAATCATATAAAAAATGTACTTTTGAAAAATAAAATAGCTATATATTATACAATCATATAAAAAATGTGTTCAATTAGAGTTTAAATTTACTCATATAAAATTTGAAATTTGCTTTTCAAATGTAATTATCTTAGTTTTTATTCTTATTGTGAAAATTATAATATAGATGAAATACAATTAAGAATAAATCAATGTAATTATGTAAATTCTCTCTATAAGTTTTTTTTTTTTTTTAAGGTCTCTATAAGTTTATTTAAATATGCACATAATTAGAGATTATATTAACAATATAAAATTTTAATTTTAATTTTAATTGTAATTTTGTATTATATAAAAATAATAAATACTTGACCAATGGAAGCTCAAAAATATTATTATATTAAACAATTTAAAATATTTTAGTTTTTTTTTTTATTTTGTATTTATATTTATAATAACATAATTTTTTTCCGTGCATCGCGCGGGTGAATTACTAGTAATAATAATAATAATTTTTTTGAATGCTACTGGCTCTATTACAATGTAGTATCTGTTCATATACTTTCAACCAACTGAAACACAAAGAACCAATAACACTTTCACTAAAGGCTTGAACTCACAACCTTCCAAATGGGAGTCCAACCCGGGTACCATTAGACAACATAGTCTTGGTATGGTTATCGTATATAAATTAGGTTTAACTGATTCACAGGTTCACTATCAAGGGGATTAGAATCAAGGGTTGATAAAGTTTTGACTTTCATGGTAAGCTTTTATGTTCACCAAAAATTACCTTTTTCCCGTAAATATTTCATGTTGGGTCTTGAAGACCAACAACGGTACTCTTTTTCCTCTAATTAAGTTTTTGATATTATTTTCTTAATTCAAGATTTTTTTAATGAGGGAGCTAGTGCAATGCATGAATACACATATCATATACTTTTTTCCTCAACTAGTTTTTTTCCTACTGGATTTTTTCTAATGAGGTTTTTAACAAGGCATGACTATGATATAGTAATGTCAAGAAGATTATGCCCAGAAGTTTTATGTTTAGTTTATGGTTATACTCTTTTCCTTAGCTAAGTTTTTTTCCACCGGGTTTTCTTAGCTTAACATTTTTCTTACTGAGTTTTCTTAGTTTAAAGTTTTTACCACTGGGTTTTCTTAGCTTAAGATTTTTAATGAGGCAACCCGTGCAATATATGTTTTTTCATGTATCATGTACTCTTTTTCTTGATTGGGTTTTTCCCATAGGGCTTTCCTAGCAAGGTTTTTAACGAGGCATGAATATAGTAAGATAATGGCCAAGGGGAGTGTTATAAATAGGTATAGGTATATAGGGAAGGGTTCATGAGCGGGGATGACTTCCCATGCAGTTGTGCGGTTGTGTGGTTGGACGCACCTTAATCATTAACATGGCGCATCTTAAATACACAATCACCACGCACCTTAAGTCCACAAACAAAGCACCTTAAGAACACAAATCACTCACCTTAAGTACAAAACACAAGCACATTAAGCACAGAACAAAGCACTTTGAGCACAAAACTCACACACTTAAGATTTTAAAATGTCTCATATTAAGCACAAACTCACGCACATTAAGCACAACCTCACGCACATTAAGCACAAAACTCACACACTTTAAGTATTAACTCACAGACCTTAAGTTTCAACAACTACTGACATTAATCACTAACCTCACACATTAAGCACAAACTCATGCACATTAAGTACAAAACACATGCACATTAAGCACAACCTCACGCACATTAAGCACAAAACCCACGCACTTTAAGTATTAACTCACAGACCTTAAGTTTTAACAACTACTGACATTAATCACTAACCTCACACACATTAAGCACAAACCCTATGCACATTAAGCACAAACATCACTCACATTAAGAACAAATCTCACGCACCTTAAGCACAAAAGCCCACACTTTAAGTTTAAACAACTACTCACATTAAGCACAACCCCACTCACATTAAGCACAAAACTCACGCACTTTAAGTATTAACTCACAGACCTTAAGTTTCAACAACTACTGACATTAATCACTAACCTCACACACATTAAGCACAAACCCTACGCACATTAAGCACAAACTTCACTCACATTAAGAACAAATCTCACGCACCTTAAGCACAAAAGCCCACACTTTAAGTTTAAACAACTACTCACATTAAGCACAACCCTACACACATTAAGTACAAAACTCACGCACCTTACACATAAGACTCACACATCTTATATACAAAATCTACGCACATTAATCACAGAACCGCTCACCTTAATATTGACCTAGATGCAAAAATTCCAAAATTGCCACTGCATTTTTTTTAAAAAATTTTTGATAATCCTGGACGTTGATTTAAGCGAGATGAATAGCCCAGATTAAACCGCACAATCGCACCTGGACACTAACCGCATCAGAACCTAAATCTAGGATATATATATATATATATATATATATATATATATATATATATATATATATATATATATATAGCCATTATCTCTTAGTAGCCTTAATTAGCTCCTGACTTTTAGGATCATTAATACTGTAAGATGAAGTGTATTGTACGTTATATACGTTTGATGAGATGAATGAATGACAATGATCTTCCGGTCTCCATTTTACATTCTAGTTTTCTCTCTTTTTTTTTGAAAGGAGCCTGTTCGGCATTTATTCAAAATATGCTGAAATAGCGTCAGGTGGATCGTCATCCGAATACATAAAAGCTAACTGAGTAAAAGCTGTAGATGCTAGAGTGTGTGCTAAATAATTATCCAATCTAGAAACATAATAAATCGAACAAAAATCAAAAGCTAACATACTGGTCCTGCAAGTATCAATAGCATAACCCAGGTATGAGCGCGGCGAGCGTGTCGAAGACGATAGATATTGTTGTAAGGTCAAACAATCTGTGAATAGTTGAATAGATCTTTCCCCACGTGCCCTTAACCAAGATAGGACCTCTTTGCATGCAAAGGTTTCCGCCATGAGCGGAGAAAAACAGTCTATTATTGGTGCCGACATAGCTGCGACAAAACCACCGTGTCCGTTGAGGATGATTGCACCAACCCCTGCTTTGTTTGTTTGATGGGAGTATGCGGCATCGAAATAGCATTGGTATGTTAATGACAGTTGTGAGTTGTTGGGTACGGCATGCAACATGGTTGGCAGTGGTGTACGTGGCGCAGCAGTAGCAGGTGATGTACGTGCCTCCACACTTGCAGCATTCATTCCATGTCCTCCAGATTGCAATTGCACATTTGTTGTTCGAAAATTCAAAGAGCCAGGCATATTTGTGGTCGCCGAACATGTGGTTCCAGTGTGAACTAGCTTCCACGCATTCATCGCCGAAGTTGCCATTGCTATCACCTTCCGAGGCCTTGGTAAGTATGCCTCCCATACAGCCCCATTCCTTGTTCGCCAAATATAGTATAGAAGAGCCACTGCATAAATAATCCCATCATCATCTAAAATATTCATCAAATCATTAAACCAATCACTAAAAATATTTGTGATACTATTTGGGATTGGAAGGTGGGATTGTGCCCAAATGTTAGCCGTATAGTCACATGTAATTAGAGAATGCACTATATCTTCCTGAATGAGCCCACACATAACACAAGTTGGATCAACATCCACTCTTCTCATAAGTAGGTTATTCTTAGTGGGTAATATATCATTCAAGGTGCGCCACAAAAAAGTTTTCCATTTCGGGGGGATTTTGAGTTTCCACAATTTCATCCATTTATCAAATCCCCCCATGTGACCAGTATAGTCACCAATTATTCTCCTATATCCATCTTTTACAGAATATTCCCCTCTTGGGTCCCCATACCAATACCACAAATCCTCATAGTCCGGCGATACAGGTACCTTCAATATTCGTACCACATCTTCAGGTATAAAAATATCTTTGAGAATATCCTGATCCCACGTTCCTGTTTGTTGGTTCATGAGCCCCATGACCGTTGCCTGTGCCAGCTGGGGGGGTTTTTCTGTTTGTATTGTTGGATTAATGTCATCATGCAACCAAGGTTGGTCCCATATTAGAGTTGATTGACCATTCCCAATTCTGCGTCTAACACCTCCTGAAATTAATTCCTGCGCCGCAAGAATACTACGCCAACAAAAACTTGGGTTATTTCCCAAGATTGCAGTCATAAAAGTACCTCTGGGATAGTACCTGGCCCTGTATACTTTTGAAACTAACGATTGTGGTTGTGTTAGGAAACGCCACGCTTGCTTACCCAACATAGCAAGATTAAACGCCCGCAGTTCTCTAAACCCCAAACCTCCATATTTCTTAGGAATACATAGTTTATCCCAAGCCTTCCAATGAATACCCTGGTCATCCTTGGATCTCCACCAATATCTGTTCATGGTCCGCTCAATGGCCGTACACAAATTCATAGGCAGTAAAAAGACACTCATTGAAAAGGTAGGCATAGCTTGAGCCACACTTTTCAACAAAATTTCTTTCCCTGCTTGCGATAATAACCGTTTGTTCCACGATGTAATCCTCTGTCTTATCTTATCCTCGATATATGAGAATGCTGCTCTTCTATTCCTTCCCACAAAAGAAGGAAGTCCCAGATATTTTCCAAAATTGGTAGCCTGCACCACACCCAATATATTGGCAATCTCTTCCCTAAGATCATTTCTTGTATTCTTACTATAACAAATACTTGATTTGTGATAGTTTACTGCCTGTCCCGACATATCTTCGTAATCCTTCAAACAGCGTTTAATCACTTCCGCTTCCTGTACATTTGCCTTAAAGAAAAGCAGGCTATCATCAGCAAAAAATAAGTGTGAAATAGCGGGTGCACCTCTAGCTACCCTGCAGCCATGTATTTCTCCTCTCGTTTGAGCCTGCTGTAATAATAATGATAGCCCTTCTGCACAAATAATGAACAAATAAGGCGAGAGAGGGTCACCTTGCCTTAAACCACGGGTCGGGATAATCTGGTTCGTTCGTGATCCATTCACTAGTACATTGTATGACACTGTGGTGACACACATCATCAGAAGTTCAAACCACCTATCATCAAATCCCAACATCATAAGCATTCTTCGTAAAAAGGGCCACTCCATCCGATCATAGGCTTTCGCCATATCCAGTTTCAGAGCCCCCCATCCTGCCAATCCACATTGCTTCCTATTTAAATAATGGCCTACCTCCGCAGCAATTAAGATATTATCAGTGATCAACCTGTCAGCTATAAATGCACTCTGAGAGTCAGATATAATACTCCCCATTAGTGGTTTCATTCGAGCAGTAATAACCTTTGCCATTATCCTGTAAACCACATTACTCAACGCAATTGGTCTATAGTCAGACACCCTCTCCGGATTCTTCTTCTTTGGAATTAAAATAATATTTGTATCATTCAGACTAGCAGGTAATGTTCTAGTGTTCAAACAATTCACAATATACGAGGTTACATCATTACCCACCACATCCCAAAAGTGCTGATAAAATCCCGGATTCATCCCATCAGGCCCTGGTGCCTTATCCGGATACATGGAAAATAACGCAGCCTTTACTTCACTATCCTCAAAAGGCCGCAGTAGCTGCATATTCTGTGCATCAGTTACCCGTGGTTGCACATTCTCAAAAAATTCCACATTAACAGTAGGAGAATTCGTGGTAAAGATATCACGGTAATAATTCAAGATGACATTCATCATGGGCACCCCCTCAATCCAATCCCCACCATCATTCATTATTCTAGTAACAGTATTTTTCTTCTTTCGATGAGAAGCATACCTGTGGTAGAATTTCGTGTTGGCATCCGCATCCTTGAGCCAGTGCTGCTTGGCCCTCTGCCTCCAATAGGTATCCTCCTGCAATTCAATACGGGTGAGACATTCCTCCAGCCGCCGGAATTCAGCTAAAGATGTCGGATCCGTACATCCCCTGAAGCGCAACTGTTCCTTCCTTAGGGCCATTATCTGCTCTCCAAATTTATGGAAACGATCTCCACCCCATCGTGTTAATCGCTCACCACAAACCGA